GAGGCCAGGATGGAAAATTCTCCTCTGTGGGAAGCTCAGCCACTTGGCAAAGTGTGGGATGTGGAGAGATGAACGCAAGGAGGAAAATCCACAGACTTTGCTCATCTGTATCACAGATTTGCTCATCTCAGATCAGGAAGACAGCAACGGAAGACGGTTCCTGAAATCCACCTCATTCACATGGAACACCACATGGAACAGCCCAGTGGAGTGACAGAGACACGCGTAGTCCAGGCCTGTGTGTGAGATGCTGGGGTTCTGGATCCCACATCAAGTCATCCAAGGGCAACTGGGGGGAGGACACCATTTTGTGTGCACACCTCTGTCTGACATAAGACGTGCATGGAAGATGGACTCCAGGAAAGATTGTTAAGTTCTGTCTTGGCTTATCGAAAATACTTGAAACAATGAGCTAACAGTCCACTCCAAATACTCTCCCAGACTTCTAAATATGCTACCCCAAGTGACCTGAAATCCGACATGAAGGTCCAAGGGCAGAAGTAGCTCCAGGATATATGCCCCAAGCAGTCCGTCGGGCACAGTGAAGTGTCCCACCGCGCACTCAGCTGTGGCAGAAGTCTGCCCTAGGAGACAGACAAATCTCACCCTCCCCTCCCAAGGCTCACAGCAGAAACCTGTTCTCCGGTACCGAAAATACAGCAGTACTCGTGTCTGAACAGTAACCAGACTGAAGAAGTCACGCGGCAACTGTGGCACGAGGACAGCGACCCCCAGGGCCTCCCACTTCCACCCAGGACTCGTATCCTGCAGCCCCGCGTCTCGCCTGCCTGCCGGGGGCCGTCCTCTGTGCCCCAGGGCCTCCCACTTCCACCCAGGACTCGTATCCTGCAGCCCCGCGTCTCGCCTGCCTGCCGGGGGCTGTCCTCTGTGCCCCCAGGGCCTCCCACTTCCACCCAGGACTCGTATCCTGCAGCCCCGCGTCTCGCCTGCCTGCCGGGGACTGTCCTCTGTGCCCCAGGGCCTCCCACTTCCACCCAGGACTCGTATCCTGCAGCCCCGCGTCTCGCCTGCCTGCCGGGGGCTGTTCTCTGTGCCCCAGGGCCTCCCACTTCCACCCAGGACTCGTATCCTGCAGCCCCGCGTCTCGCCTGCCTGCCGGGGACTGTCCTCTGTGCCCCAGGGCCTCCCACTTCCACCCAGGACTGGTATCCTGCAGCCCCGCGTCTCGCCTGCCTGCCGGGGGCTGTCCTCTGTGCCCCAGGGCCTCCCACTTCCACCCAGGACTCGTATCCTGCAGCCCCGCGTCTCGCCTGCCTGTCGGGGGCCGTCCTCTGTGCCCCAGGGCCTCCCACTTCCACCCAGGACTCGTATCCTGCAGCCCCGCGTCTCGCCTGCCTGCCGGGGACTGTCCTCTGTGCCCCAGGGCCTCCCACTTCCACCCAGGACTCGTATCCTGCAGCCCCGCGTCTCGCCTGCCTGCTGGGGGCTGTTCTCTGTGCCCCAGGGCCTCCCACTTCCACCCAGGACTCGTATCCTGCAGCCCCGCGTCGCGCCTGCCTGCCGGGGGCCGTCCTCTGTGCCCCAGGGCCTCCCACTTCCACCCAGGACTCGTATCCTGCAGCCCCGCGTCGCGCCTGCCTGCTGGGGGCTGTTCTCTGTGCCCCAGGGCCTCCCACTTCCACCCAGGACTCGTATCCTGCAGCCCCGCGTCGCGCCTGCCTGCCGGGGGCCGTCCTCTGTGCCCCAGGGCCTCCCACTTCCACCCAGGACTCGTATCCTGCAGCCCCGCGTCTCGCCTGCCTGCCGGGGGCTGTCCTCTGTGCCCCAGGGCCTCCCACTTCCACCCAGGACTCGTATCCTGCAGCCCCGCGTCGCGCCTGCCTGCCGGGGGCTGTCCTCTTTGCCGGCCCCCTCGTCCCCCTCGTCCCACACACCCCACAGACTCGGCCCTCGAGGACCGGCAGCGACCCCTGCTCCCGGCCTGAGGAGCCCGGCCGCGTGTTTCCCGGACCCCTGAGGGCACAGATGGCACTCCCACCGCCCCACAGGCAAGGCCGGTGTCCTCGCCCAGAGAGGAGGCTCCCTCCAAGGGGCACCCTCGAGCCCCGAGCCAGGCTCGGAGGGGCCCAGAAGGGCAGTCTGCAAGGACGGACCCGGGACTCCGACCTGGAAATGGCGGGCGCGGCACCAAGGCCAGGCCGTCGAGAGTGACGGACGAGGCTTCGCGGGCAGAGCGTGGGATCCGAGCAGAGAGGCCGGGAGCCTTCCCTCCGACCACGCAGGGGAAGCGCCTCACGAGGAGCGCCAACTAGGCAGTTTGTCAAAGGCTGGGAGAGTTGGAACTCTCGTAGTCCTGCAAAATGATGGCTCTTTGTCGACTGCATACGCCCGCCTTCCCAAGATGCACCTCTCCAGCATGTGGAACCGGACCCCACCCACTCTATTTGCATATCCTGTTTGGGCACCGCCCCCTTCCTATAAAAGAGGTGGTGGGCGGGAGCGCCGTTTCCCGCGTAGACCGTGCGTGCCTTGCGCTGCTCCCGCGCACCGTTCGCGGGCCCACCCCGCTGCTGTGTGCTCTTCCACCCTGGGTGTCGATCCAAGCCCCTGCCGAAGCATAGGTGCCGTTGGGGTTTTCTTTCTCTCGCGTTTACGGGCAGTTCTAAGAGCCACTGAGGCGCACACTGGTGCAGGACCTGCTCACCGATCCCTCACGCCCGATAAGCTGGTCCTGTGTCTCCTCAGTGTCTCTCCGCGGCAGGCTGGAACCTGGGTCAGCAACTGGTGACTCCGTCACTCGCGCTCGCGGTAGTCACCTCCGGAACGCTGAGAGAGAAGCCACGTGACTGGGGCGCCCGCAGCCCTGGACCCTCCCCGGGGGCCACCGGGAGCCCCCGTCACCAGCGGAGTGGGCCCCGCGCGTGCGGGGAATGCCTGCGTGTCCGTCTCCGCCGCCGCGGCACCTCAGCTCCTGACGTGAACGCCACCCGAGCAAGCCGGCGGTGTCTGTGCCGCACCCAGCCACGCGAGGATTTGGGGGAGCGCTGAGGCCCACGTGCCGACGCCGGACAGCACGTCCTGTGGGGCAAGCAGAGTTCCGCCGGGAACGCGCCCTCAGCTGGGCCAGTCTGTGCGAAGGGAGAGCCTGGCCTGGGGCGGTGTGCCTGGGCCCCCGCGCACCCCACGGCGCACCCCACGGCCGGCTTCCCGCCGGACCAGGGCGGCTCAGCCTGCACGCAGGGGCGGCAGCGGCCTCTCCCCTCCCTGCTGGAACCTTCTGCCGTAGGGGAGTATCCTTGGAGAGAAGAATGCCCCCGGAAGACGGCAGGCAGCGGGGAGGGGGCCACGGCCACCTTGTAAATGACTGATGATGCCGCCACCTTCACAGTGACCTCTGTGTGTGAGCTCGCCCGTCAGCCCGGTGGCGGAAAGAGGACTTTGTGAACACCTTGGGAGGGAACGGGAGGAGCGTTTGTCCCCACAGGCTGGGCCAGCCCAGGGCCTGATTGGACACCTGTGCTGCCTCGCTTCCATCACGGCATCTTTCTGGGGAGCGTGTGCGATGCTGACTTCTGAATGGTCTCTTCAGTTGCAAAAGTCCCGCCTTCCTCCCATCAGCTGTCAGTCCTGCATTAAGCCATCTTGGGTTTGTTCGCTTTTGGTATCTATTGGTCTTAGTCCCTGAACCACGTACTGCGTATGCAACCTGGACTCAGACACAGATAGACCTTGTTCATCAGCAGCTGTCAGTGGCTGAAGAAAAAACAGTGACAGAAACCAGGAGCCCTGGCTACAGGCAGGGCCCTGGTGCCTGAGCTGCCAACCTGTGGAACAGCGTGAGGCACAGTTTTCCACCCGGTGTCCACCAGTCACAAACAGTCACAGTGTTCGAAAGGATGATGTTTGTCACGCACGGACATGCCAGACTTCAGGATAAAACATCACCCAACATATAAGGGTCATCAAAAATCCATGGAAAATGCACACGATCTTTTGATTCCATTTTTCCATGAACTGTTTGACGTATCATATTAGAAAAAAAATCAAATTGTGGGGAAAATAAATAAATAAATTACAGTCTTAGAAACAAGAGCCAGGCCGCAGTAGTACCAAACAATGCAGCAAAATCCCTTCACAAGAAATGCACAATACAGAAAGAGGAAGCTTCAACAAGGAAACGCGTGTCTAAAAGTGGAAATGCCAGGACTTGGGTGGAGTTGAGTGTGGGCAGACGTGTACTTCTAAAACATCAACAGCTCCTGCCATTCCTTGACTAAAAAAAAAAGAATTCCCCCTTGGCTTCCTGTTGGTCACTTAACAAAGTCTAAGTCCTCACACTAAGTTTGTTCACCGAAAGAGCCCACAGGATGCCATACATCACTTAGGGTCGTGGGCGACCAGGGCCACAATCACCGCCTCAGAAGTTCAGTCCAGACAAGAGCAGACACAGGTAAGTGCCATCCGACAGCCCCAGAGCCCTAATCACATCGCATGCACCATGCCCAGGAAGGACACACTCCCAGAGGAAGGGAAATAAGAGAGGACCCAAGAGGGACTCGTTTTCAGTGGAGAGTTCCAGGTTGGGGACGGGGTGGGGCGGGGGGGGGGGTCCTTAAAGAGACAGAGGAAGAAAAGGCAACAAGAAATGACTCTGTATGTTACTGTCCATGACATCAGCCCACAGCCTAGCCCGGAGAGCTGTGAGTACTCACAGTCTGCCCTGGGCAAGTACAGTTCCAGGCCTGAAGAAAAGCGAGTTTTCCTAAGCACGCAGCTGTATTGAGTCCTTTGCCGTTTTGGAGACGATTTCTCCAAAGCGTTGGCTACCAGAGCAGAAGACTACATGTAGCACTGGCAATCACAAGCGTTATGGACCCGTGCAGTTTGAGTTTTTACCAGTTTATTTATGAATGTATTCAGTTCTTGATTGCTTTTTTTTTTTTTTTTTTTTTTTTGACAGGCAGAGTGGACAGTGAGAGAGAGAGACAGAGAGAAGGTCTTCCCTTTTTGGCGGTGGTTCACCCTCCAATTGACGCAGCGGCCGGCGCGCTGCGGCCGGCGCACCGCGCTGATCCGATGGCAGGAGCCAGGAGCCAGGTGCTTTTCCTGGTCTCCCATGGGGTGCAGGGCCCAAGCACCTGGGCCATCCTCCACTGCACTCCCTGGCCACAGCAGAGGGCTGGCCTGGAAGAGGGGCAACCGGGACAGAATCCGGCGCCCCGACCGGGACTAGAACCCGGTGTGCCGGCGCCGCTAGGCGGAGGATTAGCCTAGTGAGCCGCGGCGCCGGCCTTGATTGCTTTTTTAAAATCTAAGAACCAAAGGTGCTTTTAGTAAAAAGTGAAAGGAAGAGTGGGCAATGATCCAGGTAATTTGATATGTGTAGATAATCTTCGTGATGTAAACAAAAAGAGATACTGTGGCAATAATCTGGTGATTTAGGGGATAGACATAACTGAATGATAAGATTTATTTATGCAACAAAACTCTTCTCGCTGCCAGACCTGGTGCTCAATCGTTGGAACGGCAGAGCTCTCCCTTGCACAGCACACTGTAGTGGGAAAACAAGACGTAGGGATGTAAGTCTACAGAGTAACCAGGCTGGGACAAGGGCCAGTGTTGTGGGAGGTGGCCACTCCTCCGCAGGGCAGAGATCTGAGGTGAGATGGAAACAAAAGCTTCCTTCCAGGGCTCCATTTCCACTTAGGTTTGTACTTTTGTGAAATTAATAATTACAATTTAATGGGGAAAAGAATGAATTTTGGAGCTGGCCACATGGAATCTGGAGCTGGCCACCTTGGGTAAATGACTTTCCACTTCTGGGCCTGTGCTTCCAGATTTGGCTGTATTAATGCCCACCCAGATGAGCCGCGGATGGAATCCAATGGAGAAAATGTAATCATAGGTCAGACCCGTGTTTCTGTCTTCAGACATTTTTACTGCCAGGCACCCCTAGGATGAGGTAATATTGTTACCCCGCTGTGCAAATGAGGAAACCAAGCACCAGTTACTTAAGCCATGCCCTGAGTGCACTGGCAGGAAGCTGGTCAGGAGCCAGGTCAGGGAATGGAACACGGGCACTGTGATATAGGATGTGCACACCTTAACCTCTAGGCCAAATGCCACGTGCTTCTTAAACACTGCTGTTGCTAACACTCCCCCCCCCCCCCTTTATTAACAACTAGCAGAAGATCAGTCTCTCTCTTTCACTCGGGACAAATCCATCTTTAGGAAACAGAGATCCTTTTACAAATTCACCCTAAGGAAAGATGAGCCACAAGCAGTTAGCTGAAAAATGCATTCCACTGTGGAAGGAAGTATATTACAAAGTTTGTCTTAGGTGATGTACTGTGTCATACAGTGGGTGTTGCAGAATATGAAATGATGTGGGAAAATGCTCATCACACACTAAATGAAAACTACATTTCACTTGTGTAGTGTGATCAGTTTTTGTAATGTGTGTGTGTGTGTTTACATACATATCTCCAGAAAATGAGACAGAAAAATAGATTTGCTTGGTACTTTTCTATATTTTTCAAGCTCCTAGTATGAATTTGTGTTCTTGTGGTATGAGAGAAGTTATAGAAATGGAAGTTATCAAAATACTTCTCCTTTAAGAATGGCTTATTTGTCTCTGTTTATTCATACAGCATTTTTTCCCTCATGGAATAATAGTTCTATTCACCAAAATAAAGCATTCCAACCATAGGCTGCATTCTCGGAAGTTTAATGGCTGGGGCTGGGCAAACACAGCCTGCACCAGGCGGTTGCCCTCTCTGCCTGTCTGGCCGACATAGGGCGCCGCCTCCCCAGTTCAGTGCTGCCCTACAAAAGGCCTTACCCGGTCTCAGAGCAACAAAGGGGCAGACAGAATGCATATTGCTCTGTTGGCAAGGAGGGGTATCTGGTTCCTTAGTACCTAAAACAAAGCACTGGCCCTCAGCATGGTGGGGAGGAGGGGTGGACAAAAGACAAGTTAATTCCAGGGCTGTCCTCCCAGGCAGGGCAAGGAAACCGGAGCCCAGTTTGCCTGAATTTAACTGGAAATCTCATCAGCATTTTGCTGGGGCTGTAACCGCCAACGCAACTCTTCTGGTTGGGGAGCTCTATCCCACACTAACCTGCAAAATACATTAGCAGAGGACCTCTGCTTTACAGAAAGTTCACCTCGGGGTTTTTAATCGAGAAACGCTTGCGAGCTGCTGTTTTTCTGTTTACAGGTCGTGAGCTATTTGGCTGAAGGATAGGTTAAGGTCAGGTAGGCTGCAGACCAGGCCACCAGGAGCTTCAGATCATTTGAGCATGGAAGCAGTAGAGACTTCTGCCCTCTCATTCGGCCCAGAGCTTGAGAAGGAACTGCTCGGAGCAAGGAAAGATGGGTAGGTGCACAAGAAAGACTTTCTGGAGAACTTCTGCCCTGGCTTCAGAGAGCTCAGGGGGAGGTGGCAGGGAGGGGCTCCTACAGGCCACAGCGGGGACTGTCGCTCAGGCTGGGCCAGGCTGTGACTCCCCGACCCCTGTCAGTGTTGGCCTCTGGGAAGCACTGGGACAGAAACACCTCCCTAAAAGCTAGACTACATGGAAGACGTGTCACCAAAGTGCCTTGACCTCTGCTGCAATCAACAGGCCTTGACTTTTGTAGAAATCTGCTTGTGCCTCTGTTTACCATAGGGCCCCACACCCTGAGACACACCCAGTTGAACTCCACAGACTCTACTCCAGCAACTTCCTCCACATATGACAGGCCAGGGTCTCAGCCAAATGTCTCCCTGAAGAGCAGGCTGGTGTCAGCTTTAACTATTCAACCATGGCCTTCCTGTTTCCCTTCATGAACGGTTTCATTTTTCTGGCAGTGTTGATGTGGTGTCGGTTCTGCCTCGCAGGCAATGACTTAAGCCTGGTTGCATGATGAGCATTGATCTGGGCTTTGACTGTCCCTCATGGTGTTTGCTCTTCTGCTAGGCTAGGACTCTGAGCCAGCAAGGCCGGCTTCCTGACCTCTGACAGCTTCCCTGTGGACCCAGACTGCTGGCTACCTGTGTAGAGGAATAGGAGAGTCCTCCACTGACCACGTGGTACTGCTTTACCTCCCCGGTGACCCTGTGCGCCAGTTAGCTCCTAGAACAGCTGCGCCCTTCATCCCACACATGGTCACTTACAAATACAGAGCACCACACAGAACTGTCCTAAGACTTCCCCGTCCAGCCAGGCAGGACTTCATTTGAAGGCTGATCTGTCTTACAAGACAAATGAGGTTGTAGGCTGATTCAAAATCAAATACGACTCAGGAATCCTGGGAGCAGGAGCAGGCATTTAGCCTCACGGTTGATGCCTGTGTCCCACATTGGAGTGCTTGGGTTCCACACCCATTTCCAACTCCCGACTCCACCTTCCTGTTAATACAGACCCTGGCAGGCAGTGGTAATGGTTCAAGTGATGGGGTTTCTGCCACCCACATGGAAGACCTGGATTGGGTTCCCAGCCCCTGACTGTGGCCTGGCCTGGCCCCCACTGTTGCAGCCATTGGGGGAGTGAACCAGCAGATGGTATCTCTCTCCTCTTCTCTCTCTTTTTGTCTCGGATATACTGATAAAGATTCCTACAGAGTAAACAGGGATACAGGTAACATCTTTTCTCAAAATACTTCAGGCCAGCTTGTTCTGCACCTTTGTAATGGGGCAGGATTGAGGGAATTCAACTAAGTATGGCTACAAATTCATAAACAGGCGAAGAGCTCAGGAACAAGATCCCCTTCATCAAGCGTGGACAGGAGGCGTGCTGCTGCCCTTGGTTCCTTGTTCATCATTCACTCCACAGCCTTTGTGTAGGCATCTTTTTGATAAATTTCTTAAGAGCCTAGGATTCTCCTCCTTTAAGAAAATTAATGTTTTTTTAAGCCTTTCTTTTGTGATAAACCTTGATCCTTGAGGGCTTTGTAGCTTGTCATCCCGCCCCCTTTTCTTGGCAGCTGCAGCAGACAGTGCCTGGGGAGCAAGACTGGGTGGCGAGGAGGGCGGGAGGCCCTTCCTGCATGCACGTTCCCTTCTGGATTCTGAAACATACACTGGCGTTATCTATCTAAAAGCTAAGAAAATGGAAGTAAGACTCTCAGGACACGATGGCCACCTGGAAGATGCTCTTTATTCTGCCATTATTCCTTCCCCCATTGTTTTGGTGAGAATGACTAGGTTGTTCGGCTTGGCTTGGCTTACTTTTATAATTTCCTCATTTGACAAAATTGAAAGTTAGCAATCCTGTACCATCCGTCTCTACTCGTCACAACTTGACTTTCGTCTTTTCATCTAAGTTTAATATAGGTGCCTTTTGTTATCAATTGTCTCATATTCTGTTTGGATTTAGGCTTGATATAAATACAAGAGTACTTCAAAAAGTTTCTGGGAAATGGAGTTAAAAGATAAGTTTATATTGGTGCAAAAAATTTTTAGAAATTTAAATATTTTATAAGACTAATATGCCATGAATTTTTTAAAAAATATTTATTTATTAGAAAGGTATAGTGAGAGTGAGAGAGAGAGAGAAAGAGATCTTCTAAATGTTGGTTCACTCCCCAAATGACCACCAGCTAGGTCTGGGCAAGGCAGAAGCCAGGAACCGAGAACTCCATCCTAGTCTCCCATGTTGGTAAAAGGGGCCCAAGAAGTTGGACTGTCCTCCATTGCCTTCCAGGTAAATTAGCAAGGAGCTGGATCAGAAGCAGAGCATCCAAGACTCAGTACGGAGCACAGACTCAGTATATCCCATATCAATGGCATATCGGCATTGCAAGTAGCAGCTTAACCCGCTGCACCATAAAGCTGGCCCCTTCCATGAACTGTTTGAAGACCCTTCAGATGCATGAGTTTCAACATTTTTTTTTTGCACCCAAATAAACTTATTTTTAATTACAGTCTTCCATGAACTTTTTGAAGGATACTTGTACATGCATGCACAAACTCACCACACACATATGCGAGGTCACACATCAATTCTGTCGCTGAAATATCCTTCAAATGTCTCTGTTCCTGGGGCAGGCATTTGGCCTAGTGGTTATGCCACCAGTTAAGACACCCATATCCCATTTCCAAGTACCTGGTTCAAGTCTGGGCTCTGCTCCTAGGTCTAGGTTCTTGCTAATGAACACCATGGGATTTATTCCTAATAGCTCAGCTAATCGGGTTGTTGCCTCCCACATAGAAAAGACCTGGATTGAATTCCTAACCCCCAGCATTAGCCTAGCCCAGTCCAGGCCTGGCAGTTGCAGGCATCTGGGGAGTGGACCACTAAATGCCCCCCCATCTCTCAGGTAACAAATAAATAAAAATTATAAAACATCCCTGCCTCCCCTTCCCACTCAACAGGCTGGATGAGGAAGATAGCACTGGAGGGGCAGTTACCACACCCTGCTTGGCAGGCCTGAGCCCGGCACACAAGGCTGGTGAGCCCACTTGGTGTGCCTGCTTGGTGAGCCCGGCACACAGGGCTTCGTGATTCCCAGTCTGTCCCCATTAATTAAGTTTAAACTACCTTTAAATCAGTTGGGAATACGATCTGATTGAGACAAGTATCTACTGTATACTACTTAGAAAAGCGTAACAATCGCAAAAGCAGAAGCTATCTCCAAGAATGAAATTCTCACGGGAGAATGGAGGGAGCAGGAGCTGCTACTCCTCGCCTGTGCGTGGATGGCCAGCAGTGCGCGATTGTGAGGGGAGCACAGCGCTGTGGTCACTTGCAGTTCCTTCCTCCCCGTCAGGAAAGCTAAAATACAAGCTCCTTAGCACAGCGTCTCCCGGGCCTGAAACGTCTGCCTTCCCCTCCTCCCTAGCCCAGACTGCACCTGAGTCCCCACCAGCGCATTTCCTCCGGTACTGTGTCCCCCTCCCCCACCAGCCCTTTGGTAAACCCCCAGTGTCGCCTCCTCCCGCTGTGCTCCCACGAACACTTTGGAGAGGCCTCTGCATTTCACTGCTTGGTGATTGTCCATGACACTTCGCTCCTCATTTCACTGAGCTCTCAAGCAGGGCAGTTGTCTCCCCCATTGTCTATGTAACATCATGCTCAGCACGCAGTAGGTGCACAGTAACTGTTCTCAGAAGACAGGAAGGAAACCACAGGGAGGCAAAGAGTAAAAATCCCATCTGCTCCATCCTCTTTGCATTGTGATTGAAGAAAAGGTGCCTTCGCAGTGACCAGGGGCATGGAAACAGCTACAGAGGGGCAACTTCCCAGAGACCCCATCAGTGGTCATGGGAGAGCAGCGGGCAGCTGTGCACCGCCTTCTCTTTCCACCTGGGCTCATCCTGGAGCTCCAGCAAAATGGAGCAGTCTCCGGGCTCTGCAGAGAGGTAGGGACACAGGCCTGTAGGCCTGCTGTGCTCGGTTTTGACACACAAAACTGAGAATGGACGGAGCAGCCCCTGCCGCACACCAATAACTCGAAGTTTTCCCACCCAGCCCGAGTCCTGCAGCCTGTACTGAATAACAGCAGCTTCCGCAATCAGGAAGGGACGAAGGAAAAGGCAGCGGTAAGATGGCTGAGGTCTAAGCTGTGCACCTGCGAGCACATTTTGTCTCTGGGAAGTTGTCAGGCTCCTCCTCCTGGCTGTCTGCCCACAGCTCTTCCAGATCTGAAGACGAGGGGTTTGGTGGCTGCATGTGGAAGGCAGGGGAGCCTACTGACTAACACAGCAGGCATCAACCAGTGCTCCTTGCACTCAGGTACAGCCACAGGGGTGTGCAAGGGCTTTAAGCCTATGGCATAACCCTGCCTCAAAGGACCAACAACCTAATCAGAGCGTGAAAACAGCCCCGCTACAACAGGCAGATGCGTAAAGTGCCACTAGACGGAAAGAAGGAAAAACGTAGATACCCTGCGGCTGACCTGTACCAAACCTCATCAGAGTGAGGAAGGACAGGGCACTGACAGGACAACATGGCCACCTTCCCCTCCTGATGGCACTCATGAACTAGAAAAGACAAGAGCCCCTGCTGTTCTGCCAGCAGGTTAAACTGTCACCTATGACACTGGCATCCCATATGGACATCTGTTCAAGTCCTGGCTGTGTAACTTCCAATCTAGCTCTGTGCTAATGTGCCTGAGAATGCAATGAAGAAAGCCCAAGTTTCTGGGCTCCTGCCACTGACGAGAGAGACCCAGATGGAATTCCAGGCTTCTGGCCCAGCCCTGGCTATTATAGCTGTTTGGGGAGTGAACCAGCTGATGGAAGATCTGTCCCTTCCTTTTTTTCTCTGTAACTCTGCCTTTCAAATAAATAAATCTTTTTTTTTCTTTCGAAAATCTTAAGTTATTTATTTAAAACTTAAAAAAAAATGTAATTGAGAGGTAGAGAAAGTACTCCCATCTGCTGGTTCATACCCCAAGAGCCCACAGTGACTAGGGCTGGGCCAGGTTGGAGACAGAAGCCAAGAATTTAGTCCAGGCCTTCCACTAGGGTAGCAGGGACCCAGCTAACTGAGCCATCACCACTGGTTTCCAAGGTCTGTGTTAGTAGGAAACTGGAGCAGGAGACAGAGCCAGATACTAAAGTCAGGTACTCCCTTATGGGACAGGGCATCTGAACCACTGGGTGAAACTCCTACCCCTACACCCTGCCTGTCTGGTTTCACCAGATATTGCCAATAAGAGAACCATCACTGCTAACAGGTAAATACCCCTTTCGGATGAGACAAGAGTTCACACAGCTTGCACACACAGAAGTTCAAGTGCCAGGAGCAGCTCGCGTCACTCACTTGGAAAAATAAATTCCTGGCTCCCTGGCTTTATCTCTCGCTTCTTATCCCATGGCTTCACGCCCCTCACCTGCTCTCATAACGAATCGTTCCTCTTCAGTGGCCGAGACCGGACTTCTTAGCCAGAGTGGCTTTGGAACTCTGAAACTGTCCAAAAAGGGTTAAATGCATTGAGTGCTCTTGAAGGCTCCTTACACTTTATTACGATGTAGAAAGCAAATTAAAAGAGAAATTCCCCGTCAGATAACTCATTCTGAAAATTAAAATATTACCATCTGATGATTGTTTCAGTTCCCCATTTGCCTTTTAACCTAATGGATTTAGTAAACTAATTTCCTTTATGCATTTCGCTCAATCCCATCACGAGTGACACATTACCCTGTTAATGCTTTGGGACAGTAATGGAGAGCCACACGTTGTGTGCCAGCATAAAAGGCGAATTCCAGGGCCCGGGGTGCCTCTCGCTCACCAGGAAAACCACATCCTGGCGGCAGGTGCTGGCCAGGGCCCTCCCCAGAGCTGCTCCCAGCCCCTTCCTACCCTCATCCCGCCTGGGTTCTGAGTCAGTGACCAAGGCCAGCTTTGCTTTTGTTCTCGCTCAGGGCATGGTGTGGAGTCACCATCTCTCCCCGTCCCCATCTTTAATTCCAGAAGAAAATGGAAGGTAAACCTAGCCAGCTGTATTTGAAAGTCACTGCTTTTTTAGACTTGCAGCCCATAACTGCACTATTGAGCATGTAATTTTTTTTCTTGTGCTTGCATGACCTCTGTTTTATTTTAACGGTCCACAAACCCTGGGCTCAGCATGGGAGTTAGGGTGGGGGGGATGGCAATGTGGCTAGGCACTGTGGAGTTATCTAATCACAGACATCTGGAAAGGTCTGTCCCAGCAAGGGCTCTTTTAGACATTGCAGGCCACACCCGAAGACCTGTGTGCAGCTTGCCTGGAGGGGAGCTTCAGGCCCGGGGCCAAGGGTGGCAGAAGCAGCCAGATTCCGAAGCAGGAACTGCTTTTTGGAGGAAGGACAGGTATGTAGTAAGATCTAAGAGGTAGGCTGGTGCCATGGCTCAATCCTCTGCCTGCAACGCCAGCACACCGGGTTCTAGTCCCAGTCGGGGCGCCGGATTCTGTCCCGGTTGCCCCTCTTCCAGGCCAGCTCTCTGCTGTGGCCCGGGAGTGCAGTGGAGGATGGCCCAAGTGCTTGGGCCCTGCACCCACATGGGAGACCAGGAGAAGCACCTGGCTCCTGGCTTCAGATCAGCGTGGTGCACCAGCCACAGCGCGCCGGCCGCAGCGGCCATTGGAGGGTGAACCAACAGAAAAGAAGACCTTTTTCCCTATCTCTCTCTCTCTCACTGTCCACTCTGCCTGTCAAAAAAAAAAAAAAAAAATCTAAGAGGCAGCGATTGCACTGTCATCTCCTTTCAGTGGCTCAGCTTCAACTTCCAGAGTTCCTTTTAGAAAGAAAACAGAAAACAAAGGACCTCGTAGCCCAGGACATTTCCAGAAAGGACTTTAGGAGCCATCACATGCGTCTCCTCAGTTCCTGGAAGCTGCTGATGTGAGGAGTCAGTTCTGGGTCTCCATGTGGCACAGATCAGAAATAAGATAGGGCTAATAGCTGTGGGCAAAAGGGACACTTTCTTTTCCTTTTTCTCTCTCTTCCACAGGCTCCCAAAAGTGTGAAATTGATAGTGTTGGATTTGAAGTATAAATAAGGAAGCCAGAATCTATTCCCCAGTCTCAGCCTGTCCGTGGAGGTAATAAGAGTCTGAATTGATCTTGGTCCCAAAGCTGGAGTTGGGACTCCTCACCCCAAGCTGTGCCCCACCCCGTGAGCACTGCTAGATTTCACCTGCTTTCTCATTTAGCTGCCGAAACTCCTGTGTGCACTTGAACCTCAGCCCCTTTGGTTGATCAGCAACAACTCCCTGGAAGACCAGACCCTGAGCAGAAACAGTCACTGTCCCTTCCCGCGGCCCAGCGCCTCCCCATCTGCGGCTGAACTCCTTCACACTCAAGCACTGCGGCCTCCGCCGGGTCCCTCAGGGTGCTGGCCTGCCCCACCTGCCCCACCTCGCTCCGTCTGAGGCCCTCCACTGAGGTCCTCTTTGTCACTGAACAGTTATTGATCTACTCTGTTCCCTTTCGCTGTGCCAGGCGTTGGAGTCACAGCCTTGGATCAGGCAGCATTCCTAGCAGCAAAGACAGCAAACCGGGCATCACGGAGACTACTGTGAAAGGAATGCCCCGGACCCCAGGTCCTCCCTCCCTGCGCCTTCCACCGAGCAGACGAGAACAGCCTTTGGCGCAGGCCAGTCCTGGGCAGGCTCTGTTTTCACAAGGGTCTTTCAGTTTAGCTCAGTTGATGGAGACAACACATCCCCCCTTTGCAAATCAGCAACATGGAATAGTCGGGTACTGTCCCAGGATTATAGCTTCAAGGTCACTGCTGGCCCAGATCCCAGAAGCCCGGGGAAAGTTTCTGCGTGGAGGCCTGCCTGGAAGACGTGCACGTCGGCCGGTCCTCCTCAGAGAACGGTGAGCTGTGGAACCCCCGGAGGGCCTCCAGGCCCACCCACCCATCAGGCCCTCTGCTGATCAGACACCCTCCCAACAGTTGTCTGGGGCAGGGACCACCACCCCCGCTTCCATCAGCAAGCGCTCATTACCCTCTGACTGAGCGGTCAGTCCTGGACGGTCTCAGACTTCACGGAAGGGGTGAGGCAGACTGCTGCGGTCACGCACGCCACTGTCTCCTCGTCCCCGACACCCTGCTTCTCTGTGGCTTCCTCTTAGTCGACTCCCGAAGTCCCTTTCTCTTTCCACCCAAAAAGCAGGCTTGCGTCTGCTTTTAACATCCGGTCACAATCCAGCCTCTGCCACCTCGCCAGACAAGTCCCAGCTCCCAGCGCTACCACACTGCCCCTGCGCCCCAAACTGAGGCAAGGCTGGACACGCCGCACTGCCACCCTCACACAGGCTGTGCCCATCCCTCCCTGGGTTAGCTCATCTTCTAGGCACCTCTTCTTCCAGGAAGACTTCCAGAGTCCTACCTCTGTCCCCTCCAACCCACAGTCTTTGCTGTGCTATGTACAACGGACTACTCTCCTGCAGTGGGTGCACGCTGTGGGAAGCACTAAGTGATTAGACTGAATGTCACTGAGTTGCAAGGTGCCCTGTGAAGCCGCTCTGCCCAGCACACTGCCATGGGTGTGAGGGAGATGGGGCCACTTCTCCAGGCTGGAGCCTTCCATTGCGAGGACCTACAGGGAGTATATTTCCTTCTGCTCTTACAGGATTCTTTCCCTTTAGACACTCTGTGATTGTGCACCGATCACCTAGCTCCAGAGACTCATGAAGGTCTCATTTCTGTCTCTGGTCTTTCCTACTACTTTTGAAATACTTGATATACACTCTTGTTGCAAAACTGTAAGTGATTTTAGCCTCCTGTGTATAAGGCTAGATATAACCAATCAATAGAGGGGTCAGAAGTAGGAAAGTGGTATCGAAATGAGGCAAGCATGGACTGGTTAGTACCCTTGTTTTTGCAAATTACTTAACCCCAAATGGGCTTAATTAACAAGAAAATATTCATTGAACCTAAAACGCTCAGTGGTTGGTCGTGTTCAGATGGGGTTGGATCAAGCACTCAAACCCCGCATCAGGCCCTAGTGTCTCCTCATCCCTTCCTACGCCTCTTGCGAATGTGTCTCATGGTGACAAAGTGGCTGCTGGAGTCCAGACCTGTGTACTGCAGCTCTATGTTTCAGAGACAGAAAAAAAGAACATGTCTCATCTGTGGATGTAAAATCCACAGCAGTAGAGACATTTTTCAGTTAACTATTGAATTCCCAGCAAAGAGATAACTAGTGCACAAGGGAAAAAGAAGTATTTGGCTGAACTTGTTGCTGTGTGATTCCTCAAAACTCCTGCACAATGCCAGGCCTGACCTGCGCACACACCTATCCCTAAGCTAACTATTCGATCAGGGATCCTGTGCCCTACCGCTCCCAGTCTGAGCCCTGTAACCCTAACGTCAAAAGCAGGTGAGTCTTCCCTGAACCCGTGCGCCGACAGTGGGTGCAGGTGCCCACCAAGGAAATCCAGAGCTCTGAGGAGGAGAGAGAACCAAAATACACACCTGTGGGCTGAGTTGGGTTTTAAAGGATGAGCAGGAGTTGGCTGAGGAGGCTAGCAGCTATCAGCTGGTAACGTGCGGTAGCCTGGATGCCCTTGAAGAACCATCAATAGCTTCATAAGGGCTGAGAAACAAGGCTGGGGAACAGAGAGACAGCAAGCCAGAGGCAGGCAGCGTGCAAACACCAGGGGCCTTGCCCCCGACCCAGGGAGCAGGCTCTCTCCTTGAAAACCCTAATGCAGGGTGTACGGAGGTGAGAAGCCCCGGGGAGTCCCCAGCACAGATGGCCAAGAGGCACAGGAACACAGGGCCAGCAGAGAGCCTAGGCATCAACAGGGGCCCACAACGGGGTCAGGTTCTGGCCGACAGCCTGTGCTGGGAACGCCTCTGTCTCCCAGCAGCCAGGAGGTCCTCGCAGTACTGCCACACCCAGGCACCCGCTGGCTGTCAGAAGTGTGTGGTGACAGAAGCGTGTCGCCTCACAGGTGTGGGGAAAGGCGGTTCCTCCTGGGAGCTGGGAGGAACACTGTCCGAAGCTTCCGGCCTGGCTTCTGGCAATTTCCTGGCTGCCATAGTGGTGTCCTTTGGCTTGTAGCAGCATCATGGGGAACTCCGCCTTTATCTTCACAGTGTCTGACCCTCTCCAAATTTCCCTTTTAAAGGGACAGCAGTCACGGATCAACCCAGTGACCTCATATTAACCTATCTCTGCAAAGATCCTATCTCCAAATAAGGTTACGCTCTGTGGACCATGAGGATAGAACTTGAACATATGAATTTGAGAGGACACAGTTCATGCAAGGGCATCACGAAAGATAAAGAGGGGCTGGGGTCAGGCGTTCAGTGCAGCAGTTAAGGTGCTACTTAGAGTGCCCACATCTGACATCTTGGATTCCAGTCCTAGCTCCTTCCTGGATTCCATCTTCCTGCCAGTGCACAACCCCGGGAGTCCCAGATGGAGCTCTGGGCTCCTGACTTCTCCCTGGCCTAGCTCCAGCAACTATGAGCATCTGGGGAATGAACCAGCAACTTGAAGAAACCACTGTCTCTGTTTATCAAAAAAGAAAAAGATATTTTTGTATCAAGGCTTAAAAGAAAAGTAGACATTGTCTAAGTGAACTGATTCATTTATGAAAGGTATGCTGCCATGTCAGTTTGTAAAGACAAAACACCATCGATAAAGAAGCAACTCAGTAGTTGACAATGAAGAACACACTTTCAGAGTAAATAAAAAGTGGTTCAGGGGCCGGCGCTGTGGCACAGCGGGTTAATGCCCTGGCCTGAAGCACCGGCATCCCATATGGGCGCCGGTTCAAGACCTGGCTGCTCCACTTCCGATCCAGCTCTCTGCTATGGCCTGGGAAAGCAGTAGAAGATGGCCCAAGTCCTTGGGCCCCTGCACCCACGTGGGAGACCCAGAACAAGCTCTTGGCTCCTGGCTTCGGATCGGCACAGCTCCGGCCATTGCAGCCAACTGGGAAGTGAACCATCGGATGGAAGACCTCTCTCTCTTTCTCTCTGCCTCTCCTCTCTCTGTGTAATTCTGACTCTCGAATTAAAAAAAAAAAAAAAAAAAAAAAAAAAGGTTCTTTTCTAGCCGGTGAGACTGTGCACAGAGGCTGGTGTGGAGCAGGTGTTTTTTTAGGATGACATTGTACAGGCTTCCCACTGGCCAGTCTCATCTGCCACCCTCACATCCCACCCTGCCAACAGCCGTCAGGGGCAGGGACCACCACCCTCGCCTACAACAGCAAGGCACACATTACCCAGCCTACATCCGGGCAGCCGTGGGGATGAGACTGGAAATCACACCGACCGGGCCTCGGATCATCACCTGCACCTTCTTGTGAGCCCTGGGTGAAGACTGTGTGGTCACACTGGCAGTGGGTCTACAAGATGCGTCCCAGCACTCAGTCCAAAGAGGCACTAAGCCCCAGGGAGCTGCAGCAATAAATAAAAGCTGGGGTGGGCATTTGGAGCAGGGGTTAAGATAACACTTGGGACCCCTGCATCCCGTATCAGAGGGCCTGCGTTCAAGTACCGGCTACTCTGACTTCACTCCAGCTTCCTGCCACCCATGTGGATACCCAGACAGAGCTCTAGGCTCCTGGCGTTGGCCTGGCCAGGCTCCAGCTATTATAAGCATTTCAGGAGTGATCCAGGAGGATGGAGGATCTCTCTCTCTGGTCTCGCTGCCTTTCCAGTAAGATAAAAACAAGAATGAATGCTTTGTGGAGTCAGTGTCAGACCCGCAAGCCCTCTGCCATCAGATCCATGCCTTGCCCCAGGATAGCCTATTTCCACCACTAACCAGATCAGAGCATAGGCTCTTTAAATATCCTCCCCCTGGCTCCTCCCTCCACATTCTGCCTGCTGCAGTCACCCACTGGCCCACTGACCAGCATGGGCGGGTGGTTAAACAGCGCCATCCTCCATTGTTTCTGTTTCACTCCATGATTCGGATTCGTTCTGCTGGGCAACTCCTGTGGCCTGAAGGTCTCGACTGGAAACAGAGGCCATCCAAAGGCTGCGCATAGGAAGAGAGGGCCCTTTGCCCTTCAAAGTGCGCATTTTCACTGCTTCTGCCAACGGGATAAATCATTCTGTCCGTTTCCCTGGGCAGTAGTGGAGGTTAGACAGAAGCGAAAAGTTTACAGCTTAATAAGTAGGGCTGTATCCCTCAGCGGGCTGAACAGACACAGCTGAAAAGACCAACCCCAATAAAATGAGAGGAGCAGGGCGGCCATGCTCTCTTCCAGGACTGGCATCAGTTACGGGGCGCGGGTAGGGGGAGACTTTCCAAGCCACAGCCCCCTTCCTGGGGGGATCTGCGGGGGCGCCCGCAGGGCAGGGGAGGGGGCTTCCCTGGCTTGCCCCTCTCCTCCCCCTACCCCCGCCCCCGCCCCTCCCCCGTCTCCACGCTGGTTGCTTACATCCCCTCTTCCACCGGCCCCATTTTTGCTGACTGTTCTAGCCTAGCTTCAGTCCCAGGGAAAATGGAAGAGGCTCGGTGCTCTGAAAAATTCCAGCAGCTAAGGTTTTTCTTAACGGGATACGAATTGCGTCATCGACACCTCCCTCTGCGCGCCCCCGACACCTACACATCCTCGTCTTCCTGGAAGGAGCTCCTGCGCCCTACAGGGTGCACCGAGCCACGAAGGCCAGGCTCGGCGAGGGCACTTGCCCAGGTGGGGTGGCCTGGGAGCGACGCCGCGGCTCCCACCGGGGAGGGCCGCGGGTGCTGAGGATTCGGGGCACGCCGGTGTCAGGGCAGAACTTGGGAACTGGCCGAATTCAAGTCCGTCGTAGGCAAAGGTGCCTGCGGGCCCAGCCCCGAGAATTGGGCAGACAGAAAACGTGGAGTTCCAGGGGCCGGCGAGCGCCGACGGCCTGGAGGCGGTGGTGCGGGCCGCCGGTCTGCGGTTCGGGCACACGCTCCCCGCGCGGTTCGCTTTGGGGCGACCAGGGCCGTCGAGAAGGGAAAGAGACGGGTTGGGGGCGCACTGTGGCTGCCGGCCCGGAAACAGCAGCCCTCTGACTCCAACGCAGACCCTGGGTCCCCGCGGAGCCAGGAGCGCGCGGAGGAGTCCAAGTTGAACGAACTGCCCTCCACGCACCCGAAGGACCCGGACTCAGCGCGCAGACCCCACTCTGGCCGAGGCCAGTAAATCGGAAACCTGGGCTGCCCGCTTCCCCCCTGCACGCCTCCTGTCCTGCAATCCACCGGGATTGCTGGTCAGAGAGAGGAGCATAAAATTGGGGGCGGGGCGGGGCGGCACCAGCGCAGCACTTGAGCACCCGCGCCGCGCGGCGTGAACTTGCACGAGCCCCGCCCAGACCGGCAGCCCCCTGCGAGGAGCCCGCGCCTGCCCCGCGCGCCCCGCCCCGCGTCCCTCCGTCTCCCCTTTTCTCGCCCCGCGCGCCCGGGTCCCGCGCCGACCTCGCAGCTCGCGGCCGAGCCGGGCTGCGCGTGGGCGCGCCGGGCGGCCCGGATCCGTGCGCCGGGGGGTATCCGCGCTCCGCGTTTTAGCTCGCGCCGGCCGGGGCCGGGCCGGGGGCGGGGCGCGGGGGCCGAGCGTCTCCGCCGCAGCCCGCAGCCCGCGCCGCCTCCCGGACGCCGCGCCGCCCGGCGGCTCTCCGGCTTTCCGAGGTCCGCGCGCCGCCGCCTGCGCTCGCCAGCCGCTGACGCCAGGACTGCAGCGTGCCGAGCGCCTGCGGTGAGTCCTGCGGGGGCCGTGACAGTGGCCGCGGCCGGGCGCGCCGCGGGGGAGAGGGCGCGAGGGGCCCGCTGGGCCGCGGGGACCTTGGAGGCACCGGGCTGCGGCACGGGCTCCCGAGGGGCGCCCGCAGGCACCGCGGCTCGATTCGCGCTCCTGCGCGCACCGCCGTCGGGGCCCGGGCAGGGGCCGCAGCTCGGGAGCCTGCGGACGCCCGTGCAGGGTCCGGGTCCTGCTCGCCGGGGAGGCCGCGCGCTTTTCGGCAGGGGCCCACCCGACTCCCGCGGGTCCCTGCGCTGCGGTTTGCTGCGGGTAGCGCCTACAGGGGAGAGAACGCGGGCGCCTCCTCCCAGGGGCGGAAAAAGTTGCAGAAGCCGGGCGTGTGGGTGACCGGAGGACCGGGGCAGGGGTACAGCGGGGGCTTGACGCGACCGCTGCGCTCAGAGAGGAGCGCAGGGCGCCGCCGGCGACTGCAGGCAGGGCCATTTGGGGGACTTTGGGGAAATTGTCCCCAGATGGTCTCTGGGAGGAAGGGAACGGGGCGGCGGGTCGTCCCTGCCGGAGCGCTCGCCCGCCCGGGGAGGCTGAGGGGCGCCGCCCGCACGTCTGGGCGCCGGAGTCGGAGTCTGCGAGGCGGTGCAGCGCGCGGCGCGGGGGACCAGGCGGGTCGGGGTCCGCCGACTCCTGCGGCGCCGAGGTGCCTCGGGCTGCGGGAAGGGAGCCCGCGCCGAGGCCGAGTCGAACCCTGTGCGTGCGCCCGCGTGCGCTGTGCCCGCCACCGCGCAGGGCTGCGCTTGCCCGGGATGTTATGTAAGGGACGCGGTGCTCCATCCAGTGTTCCACACGCACTGCTGGAGTGCAGGAACTTCCGTCCGTGTCTGCACGTAGGTCCGGGGTGTAGACAGCCGCGACCGGCTCCAGATGTGTGCTCAGCTGTTGCCTGTCACGACAGTGACAAGTGGCCCTTCCCCACCGTGGTCCTCAGGGGGGTGTCAGCGTGCGGCCGCCGGGTGCGGGTGTGGGCTCGGGGCGGCAGCCTTGTTCGACCACCCCCAGCTGCGTGTCTGTTCCCACACTCTGCCTGCAAGATAGATCCGCTTTGAATTGAATACCAACTTAACCCAAAAATTCTGCTTTGAGCGAGACAGGATGACGCAATATTTGTCAAGCTTCTCCCTACCCCCACCCCCCACCGCCGGAACAATATTTACTCCCACCAGGGGATTTTCAACCGAAACAGCAGCCATTTATCTTGTGGTCCCAGCCTAGGTGGCGGGGCCAGGCCTGGGACAGAGATCTGGCCCTGTAGCCCAGCAGGGAGCTCCAGAAAGCAAAACGCAGCACCTGCTAGCACCAGAGGCTTTCCAAAGGCCATGGACCAGGCCAGTCAGGAAGCAGGGGAGATGTTTTACAGGCTCTTCCAGAGCTGTTTATGCAGCGGATTTAAAGGTTCACAGTGCGTGCGCTCTGCAGATTAAAACTGAGCAGTGCATGGATGTTACCCACGGCTCGGGGTTAGCACCCTTGCCCACAGAGTCCCACCTTTCTGAGTTCACCAGTGGGGGCCGGGAGAGATGCATGCTGGGGCTGTCTGAGGAGGGAGGCGGAGAGGAAGGAGAAACTCAGGCTGCAGGGGGGTGGACATATGCCTGTGAGGGAGTGGGTGGAGGCAGTTAATTTTTCCATCCTTAATTTGGTACTAATTGCTGATGGGTCTCTGAATGAGCCTGGTGGTTCAGAAGAGAAAGGGTCGTATCCGGCTGAAGCGACAGATACAATCAGTGCTGCGATTACGCTTTCGTCATGCAGGTCCACACTGGGTGGCCTGTCTACATTAAAGGGGTGTAATGAGTGAGCCGGGGTCAGCCACGTTGCATCTAGTATCAGCTGAGAGAGGCAAAGAACCCTGAACCACTCAGCTTAGCCCATTCCTCCCAGCTCGCTCTTCTATGGTCACTGCGAAGGAAAAGCAAAACAAGTTAAAATTTCTGGTTTCTTTAAGGATTTTTAAAACTGTCCGCAGAACTTCTCTAAAATCTCTTCTAATTGCTTGAAAGCCAGACACTGAGAGTGGAGTGTCGAGACTGTTTTAACACTCACGAGGGGGAACGAGAATCTTGAAAAGTTGCTTTCCTCTCGTGAAGTCCCTCTGCTAATGGTGTAGCCCTGTGCTGCAGTCGTGGGCTAGCAGAGGGCAGAGTTCTCCCAGGCGAGTCTCCCTGCTTGCATTCTGGTGTCTGCGGTTCATTTCCTGGTCAGAGCAGCTGGTACAGAGAAGTCACAGTGGCTCTTGTCTGCTGGTGGAAGTTACAGAGGCCCCTTGACCAGGAGAGGCTCCTCCCCTTGTGAAAACAGCTCTCTGTTTTCTCCGTGTTGTTTAAAAGAGCAGGGACTACAAGAGTTCTAAAATTGCTTGCATCCGTGTGTAATTACCACGCTCAAGAGGAGGAGAGGGAGCGGGACTTGGGTTTCTGGCTGGCTCGGGTGCTGTTTCTGGGGCCAGGGCTACTTTTTCTTCTCGCTGCACTAGGTAGCTTTAGAAGCCTGGGAGAGGCAAGCCCAACAGTCGGGTTCCAAGTCCTGCACTGTGGCCATTCCTCGCCACCATGGGCAGCACGTGGAGCCAGCACTCCAGGACGGAGTGCCGGGGATCAGGATGGCACTGGAGGGGCTGAGCTGCCCAGCCTTCTCCACTTCCCCACCTCTAGTGGCACCCCCCCCCCCAGCATCCTCCCTGGGTACCGTGTGCAGTGTGGGTGAACCGGGGGAGTCGAGCGGGGAAGCATGGCCCCAAGGGCAGGGCTGCCCGAGGAAGCCTTTGCCCCCAGCCCGTGTCCCAGAGGAGGGATGGTTCACGCGGGAGCTCTCTGATGTCATGACACTGCTGGCAGGGGCTCCGACAGAACAATCCCTCGCTCTGCCGTGTGCCAGGATGACACGATTTTTCCGAGCACGGTTCCTGACCCGCCGGCCCACTGGCACCGCTGGCCCTCCGTGACTGGCAGGGTGGTGGGGGTGGGGGTCCTTCTTCCAGGCCCCTGTCTGGTGCGCTGCTTTAGATGCGTGCATTGGGTCGCATTTGAAGGGACTTCTGGAGGAGCAGCTCTGATCGCCCAGCCCGAAGGCATTCCACCCTCCAGGCCCATTCTCCTGCAAGGGGAGAATTTGACGTTTCAAGTAAACGCGCCCGCCAGCCCCAAGCCCATGGCAGCACTGGAAAACGTAGAGCTGTGAACCAGCGAGCTGCCGTCGTCTACCTTTGATTCGCTTTCTCCACCACATCTTGACGTTGGGTCCAGGGTGAGCCTGAGCTGAACTGACCAGTGCAGCTGCAGCTGTGTGTTTGGCACCGCGGGAGGTGTGCCTGGACTCTGGGTAGACATGCCTCCGCAGATAACTGGGCTGTGTCCCCTCGGGTGTCCCGGCCACAGTCTCGCACTCAGTTGTCAGCACACCGAGCCCACCAGTCTCCCTGCCCCATGGGGTCTTGGAGGGCAGATGGAGCAGCACTGTGGTGGGAATTCTGCAGTTAGATGGGGTCCACGCTGCTGGGCTGCATGCCCTCTCTCAGCTGCACTTCTGTCTGAGCTGGGATCCGGCTCCTAGTCATGGTCTTTGACTTGGTAACAGTTCTGTTTGAAATGTTTCCAATTACACATAATATTGGCGGCGTGTGGCAGCTGCGTGCCAAAGAGTGTTTGCAAGTGAGTTCCAAGAATCAGGCTGTGATTGCTTTTAATTTGAAGAAAGGCTATTTGGTTTCCTGTGTGTGTGTGTGTGTGCGTGCGCGCGCGTGCTTTATAACCACCTTTTCTGCCATTTTTGGTGCCTTCAAAAAAACACAAACAAAACAAAAAGTCGCCCCTCTGGACGTGGTGGAAGGTGGCCCTGGTGTGCTAGGCTGGCTGTTTGCTTTGAGCACGCACAGCAGGTTTTCTTAATAAACAGCTGGAACGCAGCACTGCAGGGCTGTGTGGATGAAACCCGGAGGAGAGAGGAGAGTTTGTCTGAGAGCGAACTGTAAGCAGCTGTGACTTCAAGTGTCCCCTTCCTCTGCAGGGACCTGTCACAGTTGTCTCCGTAGGGCACAGGCGGTCGTTTGGCCTTTTCTTTAGATTGCCTCTGTTTTCACTTTTACTCATTTATGAAGAGATGTGAAAAAAAAGTTAAAGAATATAGATAAGTTAATAAGAACATTCGTTATAAAGAGATTTATTTATCTGAAAGACAGAATTAGAAGGATCTTCCATCGTCTAGTTCACTCCCCAAATGGCTGCAATGGCTAGCGCTGGGCCACGCTGGAGCCAGGAGCCAAGAGCTTCTGGTTTTCCACATGGGTGCAGGGACCCGAGCACTTGAGCCATCTACTGCTGCTTCCCAGACCAAAGGAGGAAGCTGGATCGGAAGTGGGGCAGCCGGGACTCAAACTGGCGCGCATAAGGGGTGTTGCTGCGGCTCAACCCGTTCTGCCGCAGCGCCAGCTCCAATGAGAACATTGTTCAGAGAGGGGAGGGACCAGCCAATAGCTTCCCAACTCTGCAAGAACTAAACCCTCCCAGGCATCCTGTCTGTGGGCTCAAAAACTCAGAACACTGAAACCTTTTGAAACCGTGGTGGTTTAAATCTTTTAATAGCTCCCAGATATAGTTGACTTATTAAGGCTGGAAAAAAGGGAGCACACAGCCCCAGGACCGGGAGGCAGCAGACTGGTACCAGGACTGGGGAGTTCTGTTTGCAGCGGTTTGCTGGGCCACCTGAAACCCAGCGCCTGAGCGGGAGGGGGTCCGCTCTGGGAGGCTCTGGCGTGGCCCTGACGGCGGTGGTCTCACATAGGCCCATTCAGCGCTGGCAGACACGTCCTGTAGAGTGTCGTGCTGCTTTGGGCTGAACAGTAGTTGCGCAAATGCCAGCATCTCCTCTGGCACTTTTGGAAGTCTTCCATCGTGTAATAAATAGTGCTGTTTGGTCCAGACTTCTGAATGCCGAGTTTCGTGCAGCCC